CCATCGATATCCTTGATGCACAGACTCGATCACTTCCTGTGTTGACATATCGTTGTATGGTACATCTCCTATAGTATTATCACAACGTTGATTTACTAACACTAACAATGGCATTGTCATTACAATATCAAATGCTTAACACGAAATATAACAACCAATGCAACCACAACAGTGCAAGTAGCAATGTATATAAGGTATGAGTAAATTAACTAAGTGAATTTAGCAACTCGATCGCCATGTATAATAATTAATATTATATATTTATTGTTCGCTGCAGGTTTAAGGGTGTCTGAAGTTAGTTTTAATCAAACATTATCTACCTAGTGATGCTATCTCCCATAAAACGATACCGTATGACCAAACATCGCTCTTGCTTGTATACACGCCGTCTAATATAGACTCTGGTGCCATCCAGCGTACGGGTAAACGTCCCTGAAAAAACATCAATTAGATCTCATTTTTCCATTGACCAACATTAATTTAGTTATGCAATATCAGCAGCAAAGTAGTAATGTTGCTTACCTGAGTCCTTCTCTCATATTCACGTTGATCCAGGACATCGGTTGCCAATCCAAATCCAGATAATTTGCATACTAGCTTGTCATTCAATAATACATTGCGAGCAGCCAAATCCCGATGAACACACTAGATGCGACAAAACTGAGATATTAGGAGCCAAAATATAATAATATATGAACAAATGGTGGTTATAACTCCTAATCATCTTTGTATATAAACTATTGAAACTTACACCTTTTTCTTCAATGAATTCCATTGCAAGAGATATCTGATGTGAAAAACCAACACAATTGTGTTGAGATAAAGTGGATACACGTTCTCTTAGATTAGCATATGTATTTCCTACATTTGTTTTTTGTTCACGAAGATAAGTTTGGAGGTTACCAAAAACCATATATTCCAGTACAATGAATATAGGACCTGATAAAATGACAACAATGATACATATGGTTACATCAAAATACAAGTTGTAACATTGAAAGTAATAAGAAATTAATAGAAAAATAACATATGATGTGAATCAAAAACATATACAGCAATATAAAGTGTATACCGTCGTGTGTACAACATCCAATCAACGTCACAACGTGTTTATGTGATGTTATTGATTTAAGCAATTCCAACTCCCTAAGTAGTGAATTATAATACTCATCAGTAAGCCCATCTGTAATATAATGGAAATACTATATTAGCTACGTGCATGCAAACATTTCTCATATTTATCAGCTACAATATTGGTTTATATGTTATGCCACATATTGTATCATACCATTAGAACAATAACCTACATTTGTCCTCGTTTCAAATTATTATAAAATAACACTCAGATAGCTGGAAAATTGTTCAAACGAAATAAAAAATAATTTCCTGTTATTTGTCAAATATATAATAACACATTGCCCTGTGTGTGTTCAATTGATCGCAAGTTTTGGCTCTATATTGCATCCAATAAAAAATACAAGGTTATAAAACTGTTCATGTCCTACAACTTCTGTAGAATATCTGTAGTATATACATTGGCAGAGTATACTTAATGTCATATAATACTTACTATTTAACATTTTTACAGCTACAGTTAACTGTCCATTTACTGATTGGTTACTCGTTGTCGACGCTTTCACTACTTTTCCAAATGACCCTTCTGCAATGGTTTCTCCAAGACGAATATCGTCTCTTGGAATTTCCCATGGTAGCTCACCATGTTTCATGTACACGTGATCTGGATTCGCATTCATGCGCAGATCCTCATACTCAGTAGAATGCAAATAATTCTGAAAATCAGGTTACAGTTTGGAAAATGAGATATATGAGGCAATATTTGACAACCTTCATATCCCAACAGTGTGACGTGAAACAGAGCAGTTCGAGGCCCATGTCACCACAATGTTACGTCACATACTGCCGAACGTTGTACGCGCCACCTGAGCGTTTCCCGGAGCTTCCTGCTTTATATACGGCATGATAACCATGGATTGTGATACAAATGACATCACGAACAAGTAGAATCGAAATGATATATTTCTATTCGGTGTTATTTTACCAATAATTTCACTTTTAACACTCCGCCGTTTCACTATGTCGTACTGTGTAAAAATGTACATGATAAATATTTAATCCCACGATATTGTTTTTAGGTTAACGGCAGCATTCACTCTTGATTACCGACAAAGTAGCATCAATCATCGCCTACGTCTCGGATTGATACGAAACTCTGGCGGTAATTACTCGTGTTTGCTGACGTTAACCTAGAGGAAAATATCGTGAGATTATATAAAATTAAACATTTTGTAAGAAACAATATTCAGTGATGACATTAATAATGGAAACAGACATAATAATAAATCTATACATATTCACCTCTGTTTTCATATTTCGTCGTATATTCAGGATATATACCAATAATATTATGGTAAAAGCAAACAATAGAATATTTACAAGAGTTGTGGCAACAATCCATCCATTTGTATTACAATCTTCTCGTGAATCTGAAATAACATTGTGTTGTCATGATTATTTCTTAATAATTATTTTAATCGAATTAGTTGGCAACTACGGTTTGGGCACAAAAGAAGATGGCTTGATATATTTCGATTGCATAGAATTTTAACTACACAACTTACATGGAAGTACGTTTACTTCTATCTCACCACTCGTACTTTCGCCAATAGTACCATCGTAAAAACGTGTTGTTGCATAACATGTATAAGTTCCACTGTGTTCTTCACTAATTGATGTAATGATATATAGTATATGTAAATCATATTCTACTTCCGCCACGACATTATCCTTGCCATTGTCATCTGTGTGGTTTATATACATTTCATAAGGACGAGGGTTAGCATCAGTTGTTACACAGACTAATACAACCTCACTTCCTTCATAGACATTAGAGGATCCAAAAAGTGAAATATTGGCCGGATCTGTTAGGGAGTAAAATGGGATAAATGAAACACGTCATACTTATTACCATTACATTTGTGAGTATGCTAGCTGTAGCTGTAAGTATATAATATAATGCACTCACACTGCACATTAATATTCATAGAATCACTGTCTGATGCGGTAGATCCATCCCAAAATACAGTTTCAGCAAAACACGTGTATGTGCCACTGTCAGTTCGTGATACGTTTTCTAGTTCAAGTGTTGATCCAAGAGAGGTAGAACCATCTGGGTGTATCCATATTCTTTCCGCTATAGGATTAGAGTCAACTAAGCATTCAGCAATATACGTGTCTAGCTCAATTACTGTGACGTCAGTTTGGTTTGCTATATTGACATTCGGAGAATCTAAAACAAAACACATTATGTTGACATGAAACGGATTTGAACACGTCGTGAACGTAATGCGATTAAGGATGTTCATGCGTTTATCAGTGATTATTATTTTTCACTTCTTGA